GTGAGTTCCAGGACAGGCTCCATAGCTACTAAGAAATCTTATCTTGAAAAACCAGAACCAAACAAACAAAAAATCCAAGTGGAACAGCTTGCCTGGGAGACTGTCACACTGAGAATCAGTGAGCTTCAGGCTTACGGCTCAAACTGGTGTTTTTATTAAATGGGGTTCAGGGTAGGGTTGCATGTGCTGAGACATAAGGGGTCTGTTGGGAGTCTCATTTGGGGTGTGTTGAAGTTAATGTGGGCTGTGAGGTCTGTGAAAACATGGTAGGGTATATTGAGGACGCTTCTAGAACATTCCAGGGGCTTCTACAAGGCTTAAGAGGGAGAGTCAAACAAATTGAAAACCAGGAGGGGCCCTCTCGCTGCAGAACTCATATATAGAGAAATGCCTGGAAATGCAGCTTCCAGGGTCCTGCACCTCTGGAGACACAGGAAGTCCGCGGTACATCCCAAGAGCACAAACTGCACGGGGAAACCAGGAGGGAAGGGCAGAAAGGCTGGGATCGTCCCTTCTCGAGGAAACCTCAGTCTGACCAGAACTCCTCCTGCAAGAATTGCTTAGGCACCAGGCTGCTATTCTTTGAGAGTCAGAGAGAATGAAACTTAACTGTATAAATTAAAAAACCCTAGCGCCTAGCTCGGTGGGCCAGGCCTCTAGTCATTCCAGCATGGGGGAAGCAGAGGTAGGTGATCTCCATGAGTTTGAGGCCAACCTGCGCTACAAAGGGAGTTCCAGAAAGGGACCCTATCTCAAAAAACAAAACAAAACAAAAACACAAAAAAACTAAAACTCCCCATAACTGGGTCTTGGGAACAGCTTGGCTGTAGAGCACATGCCCAGCGTGGCCAAGGTCTGCCTTCCATCCCAGCACTGGTGAACCCTCAAACCTTTCTCAGAAATTCTGAAGGGGGTACAGCAGGCACACAGGACCGCAGCAGAGATAGCCTGAGGGGGAGACAGGGAGCAAACCTCTCAGTGCTGCTTGGCAGGGACCCTGACCAATTCTACCTGGGAGGAAGAGGGGCCCCACGGAGGTGGAAGTAGGGGAAAGGAAGCATGTGGTTCCCAAACTAATTTGTTCTGACTTTCGGTTCCCAGGAAGCCACTGAGGAATGGTCTGGTGAAGGACAAGCTCTTCTGAGTCCCCGTCCTCAATTCTGCCACCCAGGACTCCCTCCCGTCCTACCTGGGAGACTGACCCCGCCCCTGGAGACTCCGCCCAGTGCCTGGAGATCTGCTCCCAAACTTGGGGAGCTGGCCCCGCCTTTGGAGGCAAGGCCTTGCTCCCAGGACGCCGGCCCCACCCTAAAATGCAAGATGAAATTCTCCTCCAGGGACCCCGGCCGCCAGCAGCTCTGCCCTCCAGGTCAACTCTAGACCACCCACCTTGGGACCACCGCCCAGTCCTGCCCTCCAGAACAGTGAGGTTCGGACACGCCCCCTCGAGGACCGCAAAGGCCCCCGGACCTGCGGCCACCAGCCCACTAGTCCCGGACGCAGTGGACCCCGCTGACTCTCTTGTACACAACCTGGGAGGAAAATGCTCCCTGTCCGCCGCCGCCCTGGTGGCCACCTCCTCTTTCTGTTCCTGTTCCTGCTGCCCTCAACGCTCCCTGCCCGCGCACCAGCACCCTCGGGCCCCGACGCTGCCGCCCTGCTCCAGGCTCTCGGGATGCACGAAATGCCCCGGGGCGTCCTCACGCCCCGGCCTGTGCCTCCTGTCATGTGGCGCCTGTTTCGCCGCCGCGACCCCAGGGAGGCCAGAGCTGGGTACCCTCTGCGACCGTGCCACGTGGAGGAACTGGGGGTCGCCGGAAACATCGTGCGCCACATCCCGGACAGCGGTGAGTGGGACAAGGGCCATGAGGCCGAGGCCCAACGCGCCCAGTCCAGCCTGCTAGCAAGCTGGGACCCTGTTTTCTAGTCCCCTGGGCGCAAGGGCTTCCCAAGACCAGGCCCCTACCTCACACCCTTTGATGCCTTCCTTCGGGTCATTTTCCAGGGGCCCCAGGTGCTGGTTGGCTCATCTCCATCTGCCCAAGTCTCCAAGTGCAGGCACGGCACCCCACAGTGTCGCTTCTTTGCATCTGACGCCCTGCCCCCACCCATCCGTCATTAGTGCCCTGCAGATGCGCCCCTGCCTCTCTTTGCTCCCCTTGCTCCTCGTTCCAGCCCATTGGCTGGGACGACATGCTATGTCCGCTCTCTCCTCGCCCTTTCAGGTCTGTTCTCCAGACCCCCAGGACCAACCAGAACCTTGGGGCTGTGTCCCAAGTGGACTGTCACCTTCAACTTGTCGGGCGTGGAGCCTGCCGAGCACCCAACACGTGCGCGTCTCGAGTTGCGGCTGGAGGCTGAGAACGAAGATACGCACGGGTGGGAGCTAAGCGTGGCACTGTTGGCCAAGCATCCCGGGCCTGAGCTGCTGCGCATTCCTGTGGCACCCGGGCTGCTAGTACGCGCAGACCTACTGGGGGCCGCGGTAGCCGCCAACGCATCGATGCCCCGCACCCTGCGCCTGGCACTGGCGCTGCACCGTGGAGCCACCACCGGTGGAGCCACCACCGTCTGCGCGAGGCTGGCCGAGGCCTCGCTGCTGCTGGTGACGTTAGACGCCCGCCTGTGCCCCCCGCCGCGGTTGCGGCGCCACTCCGAGCCCGGGGTGGGAGGTGGTCCAGGGGGCGCGTGTCGCACACGACGGTTGCACGTGAGCTTCCGGGAGGTGGGCTGGCACCGCTGGGTGATTGCACCGCGCGGCTTCCTGGCCAACTTCTGCCAGGGCGCGTGTACGCTGCCTGAAGCGCTACAGGGACACGGTGGGCCGCCCGTGCTCAACCATGCTGTGCTGCACGCGCTCATGCACGCGGCCGCCCCAACTCAGGGCGCAGGCCCGCCCTGCTGCGTGCCCGCACGCCTGTCGCCCATCTCCGTGCTCTTCTTCGACAACAGCGATAATGTGGTGCTGCGACACTACGAGGACATGGTGGTGGACGAGTGTGGCTGCCGCTAACTACCTGGGACACCCTTGCAGGGACGACCCCACGCGAAAGCAAGGACCATTTGTTCATGTTTTATTGGTGACAAAAAGCTTAAAACAAATTTGACCAAAAATTAAGTTCCATTGCGTTGGCGCAGGTGTGCCTGGGTAGGGGTCGGGTGGCCGCTGCGGGAGGTTGGGGGGCCGTGGCAGGGCGCCCAGCAATGAGACCTCCACCCACGACGGGGAAGAACCCGCGGGCCGTCACGCATTGGTCACGCTCAGGAGTTTGCCTGCGGCCTCTGAAGCTCAAACGCAAAACAAATCCTCTGGCCATGGTGCAGGCGGTGATCCCAGGCTGCGGGGCTCAGGCTTCTTAGCGCGGCCTCTCTGGAAACTTCTTGCATCTCCCAGGTCCACCACTAAGGTCTTAGAGACAACTGATCAAAGTACTTCCCATACTCCTTTGAAGGAATTCTTGAAAAAAAAAAAAACAACAAAAAAAAATAAAACAAAAAACCCAAACACCATATTTTCTTTAAATGAAACCCCTTTGCGCTGGGACCGCGCCATGACGCTCCTGGCCGCCCGCTTGGGCACAGAAACGCGAAGTTCGTCCTGCTAAAACATAGCCCCTCAAATCACGAGAAACAAAGAAAAAGAACAGCGGGCCGGTCCTGGCGAGGCCGCTCCCTCTGGCGGGCTCGGCGCCGGGCCGGCCTCGTAGCGGTGCGGGCCTCTCTCCTCTCGCCGCCCGCAGGGGGCGCCCGCTCCTCGGCGCTCCACTCCGTCGTCCTCCCTGGCCGCTCTCTGCTCGCTCTCGCTCCTCTCTCCTCTCCTCGGCTGCTCACACAGTGGTGCTTCAGTTTTAGCAGTGGAAAACAGGTATCCATTTATTTTTATTTTTTATTACCCAGAATAAGATGCTGATAGACTAAGCCACATAGCTTAGCTCTTTCGCCGCCACCTGTAATCAGGGACAGGAGTGAGAGGTGTCACGGCCAAGCAGAAGCAGAACTACCCACACCCCACATTTATCTGCACTTGGTTACGGGGGTTGAGCCCACTAGGTTACTTGCCTTCTAGTACTGGGACAGCCCGGTGACCCCGCCGTGCTGATATGCCCGCTCTCCCTGGTAAGTGGAGTCTTGCGAGAGTGCCACGTCAATCTGTGACTTAAACTCATCACCGAGGTAGCTGTCCTGAAAGGCAAAGCTAGAGTGAGCGAGGCAGGGCCCCCACCAGCCCACACTCTGGGAAGAAACCCCATACTGTGGCAGGGTGACAGGCCCAGGGCCCAGTCTAGGCAGGGTCATCCACCCTTCAGAAAGGCAGCACGATGGCCGTGTGCAGCTGAGGGCCCACCTGGGACAGCTCTGGCTGGGAAAGGCCGGGCTGGCTCATCTGGGAGGGCTGGCTCATGGACACGTAGCCCTGGGTGAGGGCGCCCTGCGAGAAGGGCTGTGAGGCCACATCCTGGCTGGCCTGGCTGTTGGGAAGGGTGGTCTGGCTGGGCCCTGGAAGCCCAAAGCGATTCTTCTGGCGGCCTCCACGGCCAGTCTTGCTTTTTGGGGTGCCCCGGCCTGAAAGACAGCAGTGAAAGACAGCACAATCCACCTGAAAGCCGGGTTCAGATGAGGGCAGGGCAGGGAAAGGCCATTACCAGCAGCGGGCCCGTTGGCCTGTCCAAAGTACCCAGGTGGTGGCATGGGAGGCATGACCAGGTTGAAGGGAATGGGGATGTTCATGGCGGCCACATGGCTGGGACCCGCACTGATCATGCCAATCTGGTCGTGGGTCTGGAAGTACATGTTTGAGGGCCGGCCTGCAAGATACCAGGGGTCAGAGGCAGGGCCCCAGTGGGCAATGCTGCAGTGGTAGCTGCTAGGCCAGTCAAGCAGACCAGCAGACGGGGGCTGAGGGTCTGCCACACAGGGTGCTAGTAGAGGGTAAGAAACTCAGAGGTAGGCGAGACTGTCCATAATGAGTTTCTAGGCAACTCACAATCTTCCAGAAAACAGAGGCCAGTCTGGCTGAGGTACACACAGGCTTGCCTCAGGGCACACAGGGCAGTAGCACTCAGCAGCCTCAGTGGCACCAGAGGGACAGTGGTACAAATCACTAGCAGAGGCCAGTGTAGCTCTGGGGGTCTTAGAAGGGGCCCCAGGGGCCTGCTTGGAGAAGCCACATCGACCAATTGGGAAAGCTCCAAATGGAGGTCAAGGACTGAGTCTGGGAGGCCACCCAGGGGGTGACAGGTCCAGATTGGGACTTGGGAAGGTCAACACACTGGTGGTTGCCAGGAAAACTTACCCTGGCTACTGCGGTCATAGACAGATCCAGGGATGATGGCCTCGCGGGCATCATACATGGCTGTAGTCATGAAGCGGGCCCCCTGCAGGGTGGCACAAGAGTGAGGAATGTGTCAGTCAACAGCAGCAGGGGCTAAGAGCTCCCAGCTTTCCCAGGCCCTGGGCCAGCCCATTGGCCCACCGGGTTGACGGTGTTGACGAGCTTGCGAGGCTTGCTGAACTGCATGAGGCTCTCACGCAGGTTGTTGAGTGGCCCTTCCACCAGCGCCTTCTGCTCCTTGTAGTAGCTCAGCAGGTGGTTCCACAGTGGCTGCTTCGACAGTGCCTTTGGGTTACCCACAATGATCACACCATATCTGCAGGGCAACAGACATGCTAAGAGCTTAGGGCTACACCCACATGACTGCAGTGTCTAGGGCTAGCACCTTGAATATTAAGAGCTGGGTGCCAAGAACCCAACATTGGTCAACAAATGAGGAAGCACCTTAAACAGCTGAGCAATTGGAACCAATCATGACTCAAGCAGAAAAAGGACAGGGTACCAGAGACACAGGGACACACCAGGTCTGAGTGCACTTCCAGGACAGACGTGGAGAATAGGGCAAAGGAAGGGCTTCTTGTTCCTGTCTGGAGGAAGGTAGCAATGGGCAGCTGCCTACCTGGCTCTGGTGAGGGCCACATTGAGACGCCGGGGGTCGTTCAGGAACCCAATGCCCTGGTGCTCGTTGGCACGCACACAGGACAGGATGATGAAGTCCTTCTCCCGGCCCTGGAAGGCGTCCACACTGGCAATCTCCACTTCCTGAAGGAGACAATGCCCTATCAGTCATGGAGAAGTGGAGACTGCATGGGCTGCATGGTGACAATCCCTGGCCCTGGTACAACCAACATAAGATCACCAGAGCTCCTCCTCTGCCACATGTTAGGGTGGCACCAGCTGTTCTGCTCTCTTACAAAGTCTTACTGTGTAGCCCTGGCAGTCCTGGGCTCACTCTGCACTTCTGTGCCAGCTGGGTGCTGACATCAAAGGCAGCACTCACCACACACCCTTTCCACTCTCACCTCCAGCAGTCCAGAAGCTGCTCTGACTGCAGCACATCAGGCAGCCCTGCACATGATGTGGTCATGTGCTTGCTCCTCGCCGCTCAACACACCAGGGCACATTTTAATGCATTATCTGCTGTGCCCTTGCATATACCCCACAGCACGTGACAACAGGACTTGCCCTTTTCTTCCACTATGTGCAGTTGTCTCTGGTCACCAGGAAGGCTGCACTCAGCCCTGGCCCTCGGGGCACTTCTGACAGCCTACCTGGTAGAGCTTCGTGTGCAGGGAGCCACTGAACTGCATGTATTGCACCAGGTAGGAGCGCTGGCCCTCATAGGGTGTGATGATGCCAATCTGGTCAGGCTTGGCACCTGCCTTCAGCAGCTTTGTAGTTATCTTCTCCACATTAGCTGCCTCGGTCCTAAGAACATCCGGCTTTCAGTGACAGGCTCCCTACAGCCGTCCCCAGCCTGACATGATTTCAAGCAACCACGGGGGAACTAGAGAGCACATGACAGTCACCCACGCCTTCTCTTCACTGACAAGTACAGCAACCCAGGGAATGAGATGCTACGGTGGCCCCACGCACGGGTCGAGGCTGCACACCTGTTGAGGTAGGACGTGCCGGAGCTGGCAATCTCCTCCTGGCCCTGTGTCACGTAGAAGAACATGGGTTTGTCCGGCTGTGGCCACTGGAAGTCAAAGCCCTTCTTGACACGATCCGCTGTGTCGAGGAAGACAGAAGTGTCACTGCTGAGATGCACCAGGGCTCTAAGTACACAGACACTGAGGAAAGTGAGGTCACCGCACCAGTGGTACTGTCTCCAGGGCTCCCGGGCCAGAAGAGGGCAGCCAAGGGACCAGGCCAACACTGTTTAAGGCATCACTAGGAACAGGAGACATTCTTAGTCCCCTAGAAGCTACACCACTGCAATTTAGGGGACCCAGAGCTGCCATGACAGTGGGACCAGTCAGCAGCACCTGTCACAAACAAGTTTGTCTATAGACCCTCATCCTCACATCAATCCTGGGCCTACCAATCAATACTCTGCTGACCTAGGCGTCACACTGCACCCCCTGGCTGCCACTATTCTAGGTTTATTCAGGCTTCCCACTGTGCAGATCCTCACACCCTAGAGGCTAAATCCACTCCTACCAGCTTAACCCTTACCAGGGACCTTCCTCCCAAGGGTCCAATGTGTCATAGCCCATCACTAGTAAAGGAAGTTGGCATCAGGGGGCACCTTGCCCTAGGCCCTCCAATGTACCAGGGGAGCACAGCATGGTCCTTTGAACTTGTCAATGGAGTTTGGGGCCTAACAGCCACCCACAGAGGAACACACACCCTAGGTGGAGGCAGGCCATGGTCCCACAGGAGCTCTGGTGCCCACCAGGCAGGGTCTGTCCTGGTATAGCGTAGCCAGGGACATGCAGGCCTCTCCCAGCATTTCAACTGTGACACCTGAGTCATAAGGGGCAGCAGAGAACAGGAAACTCCAGGGACTGCTCCCATACTTGGGCAGCAGCACAAGTCACAGCTGGCGAAGCAGTGGTCTCCCTGCCTGCAGCTGCTGGGATTCCCATGCCACACTACATGGCACAGATCTCATCAGCACCATCCCTGTCTGAATTCATCAAACTCAGGCAACTCAAATCCACATGGACTCACTGAGAAACAAACCCACTGCTGAAGCTGTATGTGTGTTGAGATGGGGTCTCACTATGTAGCCCTGGCTGGCCTTGACCTATGCTTCCTAAGTGCAGGGATTAAAGATGTTATAAATTTTTATGAGAAATAACTTTATACTGCTAAAATCAGACAGCAGCCTTTTCTTCCTCATGGTCAAATCCCTCTACTCCACAGTCAGACTGCATGGAGGACAGCTGGGCCCAGAGCCAGTGTGGAAGAGAACTCTCCGGCAGGAAACCTGCCATAGCAGACCCATTGTGTGGTCACCACATACACTGTGCCCAAAGTGCTGGTGGGAGTTAGGGAGGCCCAACTGTTACCTGCAGTGACACCGTTCTGCAATGAGCCCTCGTAGAAGATGTTGGACGGGAAGGCGCTGAGTGCAGGGTGCATGCGGTACTGCACCTGCAGGCGGATGGGCCGGATGCCGAGCACCACCAGGCGCTCGAAGAGCGACTGTGACAGTCCGGCCTTGGCTGCCTTTTTGCACATCACCACAGGGCCCAGCTGACAGTGGTCACCCACGAGGATCAGCTGTGGCAAGAAGTCCCACAAGTCAACACCTCAGGCTCTAGCCAGCCTAAGTGCCCCCTCCCCCGACAGGGGTTCACTCCACCATCCAAAAGCAAGACTGTGAGTGCACACTGTGCTCACACTGCACAGCAGGAGATGGCAGCAGTGGACCACATGGACCTCCTGCAGGCCTTGTGCCACCCACCCAGCACTGCTACGGACAGGACATCAGAAGCCACTCAAGTGGCAGCTACCTACCTGCTTGGCCCCAAGGACCACAGGCACCATGCACTCAGGCTCAGTGGCCTGGGTGCTCTCATCAATAAGGATGGAACGGAACTGCATCTTGGCCAGCCTTGGGTCACCAGCACCCACACAGGTGCAGCAGATGACATCTGCGTTCTGTAGAAGCATAGGCGTAAGGACACATACAGTTGCCCCGCTCAATATCCACTCAGCAACTGTGTATGTAGGTACATCTGTGTGCATGTGTGTATGTTTTCCTGATGGAGTTTAGCTGTGTTGCCCCAGGCTGACTTTCCACAAGCAGTTCCCCAGCTAAACAAGCCACTCCTTCTGCCACCCAAATATCAGCACCACAGGCTACCATGAGCAGGAATGTTCGAGATGGTAGTCCTCTGGGGCACACTCCCCAGCACAGAAACAGCTCTATGTCTGCAGGACAGTGCCAAGCTGGAGGAACCCCAAGGCTGAGACTCCAGCTTTGGTAGCTGTGTGTCCCTGTCTGTGGGCACAGATGTAAAGACCAGGGCCTTCAAGGGCTCCCACGCTCCTGACTCGGACAAGTCTCTCAAGCCTCTCTGCCCACAGGGAACGGCCCCAAGGCTCCTGGGCTGGCGCCACACTCACCATGAGCAGCTCTCTTTCAGCTGTGCGCTTGAGCGCCCGGTACCGCTTCTCATCTGCAGACGACAGTTCGCCTGTCTCGTCCTTCAGCTGCTGCAGCTTCTGCAGCTCAGGCATGCTACAGAACACACAGTAGGAGTAGGAGACAGTGCCAGTGGCAGCATGCAGCCTGTACCAGGCCCCCAGATGCAGATACTCACCTGTCCATGTTCCTAATCTGGTTGTGCAGAGCCAAGAAGGACACTGGCGAGTCAATGGCCTCCCGGCTCTTGGCACAGAGGCGTACAACCTTCAGTCCTGTCTGGTGGATCTTCTCTGTGAGCTGGTCCACGGCGATGTTACTTGGGGCACAGACCAGCACAGGCCTGCACAGAGTGGAGTGGGCTGTCAGCATCACCCAGGGAAGCTCAACAAAGGCCAACATTGGAGCTACACAGCTCTGATTCCAGCAGGTGCAGCCATGCCAAGGCAGAGCAAGTAGTTTCCTGTCCCCTACTCAGCAACCATCATCTGAACGCTGCCCCTACCCTTTCATTCATTTGAGGCAGCCTTGTGACTTTGGGACACACAAAATACCTGTATTATGACACTGCAGCGCTTTCTCTGTGGCCCAGGCAGAGCCAAAACAGCCCCCCTCCCACCCACAAGGCTGTTGCTACTGAGCACCTACCCATTGCCCTGCCGAGCAAGGTGGTAGACAATAGTGGCAGATGTCACCGTCTTCCCTGTGCCTGGCGGGCCCTGGATGAGGCTGAGTGGCCTCTGCAGCACGGTCTTCACAGCATACACCTGCAAGGACGTTGTTTCAGCAGAGCTATGGTCGCTACAGACGCCCACAGGCCCTGCTCCTAGGGTCCCAGTGGCACCTGAGAGTGGTTGAGGTCAGGGAGCCCCTGAGCTGTGAAGCGCTTTGGCAGCTGGCATTTGATGACTACATCCTCCACCTCGTGGCCCAGCAGCTTGTGGTAGATGTATCCTGACACGGAGGTCTCATCCACAGCAAAGGTTTTCAGTGCACTCTGCATCCTGTAGAGCCAGTGTAGGACCCATGTGGGTCACAGGTACTAGATGGAGGTGGAGGGGTCCCCATGGCCCTATCACCCTGGGGCATAGGTGGACGAACCTATCAAAAGAGGTTGACTTCCACACAAAATCCACCTGGAAGTTGTGGGTCACTTCCACAGGCGCACCCACACTGCTGCGGAGCTCAATAGCAATCTCATCACCGTAATCTGGACGCTGAGTTAAGTCTGCTTCCTGTTCAAAGCCGCTACCCTCTATAGGGCCACTGGCTTCTGGTCCTCCTGAGTGACACTCCATCCATCACTAGACTAGTTCCCCTTGGTGTCCGCCAAGGGGGACTGCTGTAGTCTGACTCCAGGCTATTACACAGACCGACACGTATGCGCACGCACGTGCAGAGAGACACACGAATAGCACTGTGGTGGGACAGCTTCTAGCCAAGGCATATATAGTGCCGCCGTGTGCATGTTCCACACAGAGGGAAGACAGGAAGGAATCACACACGTTAAGGCCTTGGGGACAGCCAGGGGTCCTGTTATGGCACCCATCCTCCCAGCTGATGTAGCAAAGGATACTATCAGGGACCTTGATGACATGGCCAATCCCCTTCCATAGGGGTGCTAGGTCCCCTTTGTACCGCAGACAGATCTCGTCGCCCTGCATGAGCCGCATATCTTGCAGGAAGGAGCAGCAGAGTTAGCACTTTCCAGAGGGCCGTGACCTCCACCATGCAGAGTTCACAAAAGAACATGATACAGGGGACTAGGGATTTTAGGCTACTTATGGTCACAAATATTTTAAAACTTACAATCACCTCTTAACCAAATTATGACTAAATCCTCATTACCAGAGTCAGTCTTGGGCAAAGTGAAGAAGGCGATTCTCTTCTTGTTAAGGCCCAGGTCCCACCTGACCGTGATGTTATCTTGAGTCTGAACATATGAGAAACAGGGGCCAAGTTAGCCTACCACCCACTCCCGGGCCAGGCTCCCCACAGGATGGGGCCTCTACGGAGGCCATGCCTGTGCCGCGCAGCCTTTGGGGTGCAGTGCACAGCACCCACAGCCAGGAACTCCAACATCTGGGAAAGAAGCAACAAGGACCCACCCCCCCAACACCCGCTGCCCAAGCTGGCCCCAGCAGCAGACTTTGCAGAGAGCCTCAGGAGACCCCTGCACGCCAGGATCTGTGGGGAGAAGGTGGAACTGCAGACAAAGTTGTGAACCAGACACAGGGGTTCTCTCTGACTTTAAAAGTAAGAAACATTTTTGGCCTTCTTTCAAAATGCCCACAGTTCTGGTCTGATGCTGTTTGCGTTTCTGGTTCCATCCAGGTTCAAGCTCTAGAAGAGTCCCTGACCCTCAGGAGACACTCTGGTAGAGATCCAGCCTACACACTGCACCACATCACCTGTGACTCCTTCAGCTTCTTGTCGTAGTCAGCTTCTAGCTTCACCAGGGGCCCGAAGATGTTCTGGTACTGATAAGCATCCTCATACCGCAGGAGCACGTGCTGGGGCTCCTCATCCACGCCGGGCTTCTCCAGGTCCTCCAGGGTGGCTGAAGGGTTTTCCTGTGGCCAAAAATAGCGCTGTGCTTGCCCTGCTTAACCCATAGTCAGTGATCGAGAGCACGGAAGGAAACCAACTGGGGCTTGCATGGCCTCTGAGCACAAACCCTCATGGGTGGAGAGTGGCCACTTTGCTGTCAGTCTACGCTCTAAACCTACTGTACTGATGGTTGTGGTCATGTCCGGCAGCATTCTGACCCCAAGAAACCTGTAAAGAGCACCCCCAGGGCCCAGAGCAACACTAGGCCCACAACCAAGGGCGCTTAAGAGTCCTGGACATCCCCCAGTGAGCCAGGTCCATCCATCTCTTACATTCTGCACCCACATGCCTCCCCTGGGACTCACTGAGCTCAATAAACACCACTGTGGAAAACAGAACAGAATCTAGGTACATCACATCACAGCAACTGGAACCTGATCATCCAAGTGCAAAGAGACTAAGTTGGAAAGGCTTACAACACTTTGTCCCACACTACTTGTGATTCCTGGTTAAAAGATGCTCAAGTGACATTCCTAACAAGATCTGAACAATCTAGCTAGTCCCAGGAGGAGCCAGAATCCCACATCTGACCTCAAGCCCTGACTCATCCTCTGGGACAGATGCTCTCTGGAGCAGGAAATCTCATGACAGCCTCAACCAACTACTCAGACCATCCACTCTGTATCCTTCAGCCAGCAAAAAGACCCACTAGTTGGATCTCTGTGAGTTCGAGACCAGCCTGGTCTACAAGAGCTAGTTTCAGGACAGGCTCCAAAACCACAGAGAAACCCTGTCTCGAAAAACCAAAAAAAAAGACCCACTAGCCCCTGCAGGTTCCCCAGACCATGTCTTTCCTCCCCATGTCCCAAAGGCCCCAGTGTCAGGCTGGCTGTGTGCTCTTGTGTCTCTGCAGCCTTGGGCTAGCATCTCTGGATGGCTCACCTTCCACAGCTCCTCCAGCTTGTTGATCTGCTGTGCAGTGATCTGCCGTGCCCGCAACTGCTCCTGCTCTGAGGGAATCTTGACCAGCCATGAAAGGAAGCATCGGTCCTGGATCAGGGGCTGCCACTGGGAGCTGTCCCAGTTGATGTCCTTTAGGCTGCTCTGGCTGGCACAGGGCTGCCTGTGCAGATGTGGGGCAAGACAACGGGTTAGGACCTGGCCCAGGAGGTCTCTAACTAGCCAGAAGCCAGCAACATCCGCACACCTCAGCTCTGGCCCCAGCTCACAGTAGACTTCCTTCCTTTTTTCGATTTTTTGGAGACAGGGTCTCAGTATGTAGCTGGTCCTGGGCACTCTATGTAGACCAGGCTAGCCTTGAACTCAAGAGGTCCTCCCGCCTCTGCCTCTTAAGTGCTGGAATTAAAAGTTTGCACTACCATACAAGATCAGACTTCATTTTCTAATTTGACCAGAATACACACATAAAAGCCCCTTGGATCCCAACAGTCCCTGCCCTGCTCAGTCCTGTGCTGCTACAAGCAGCTCACCTGCACAGCAGCACCACTACTGAGTCAGCCTTTGCAGGGATGAAGCCCAGCAGGAAGACATTGCGGCAGCCGCAGTTGTAGCATTCCAGCACTGTCTCACCCAGGGGTCCATCCTTGTGCAGCGTCACTTCCTTGCATTTTGCCCTTACCAGGTGATTTACAATGTGGCTGGAACCAGGAAAACATTGGCAGTCAACACCCCAAGCCTGTCTTTTCACCATTTGCAGATCTATGGCCCCCATGGAATGTTCTGGGTACTACCTTTCATGGTCCTCTAGCACAGGTGGTCACACCTCATGCCCGTGCACCCTGGAGCCACAGTCCTGCCCCAACCAATCTACCTACAGGGAACTGCTCATTGGCTCACAATCCCTGCAATTTCTTCCATTCCCATTTTCTTTAGCTGGTCCAGTTCATGATCCTCTAATACCACTAACGGCTGGATGGGCACAGCATGGCTCCCCAAAAGAGGAGAGCCCCTTTCTCCCATGCCTACCTGCAGGTCACCTCCTGGTCTATGCAGCAAGGGACTGCTCTGAAGACTGCAGCTCCCCCATTCCTTCCATGCTGCCACATACGAGGACATGGTCTACCTCAAGGATGGCCTGTGCCAGACTGGTCAGCTCAACCCAGAGGGCCCATGAACTCTGCCAGCTTTTCTGATTGTTATAGGGGATGCCAGTCTTCAAGACCCCATTACAACCTTCACCAGAGTCCTCTGGCAGCCATCCAGCCACTCTTGGCTTTATAGGCCTGACTCCTAAACAGTGGCCACTAGATGCCTTGCTTTAGTGGCCAATTTCCCCCACCCCAATCCAGGACAGGCCCTTCTTGCCTACTGTGAGCTTTATTCTATTGCTTTTTCTGCACAGGAGGAACTGGTGCCAACGGAGCAACACTAGAACCTTCTGAGAATGGGATGCGTTGGTCTCAGAAGATGAATTTAAGACCATTTAAAGATGCTGGCCCCTGCCTCCTGACCTTTCTGCACCTACAAGCTTCTGTGGCATTGTAATATATATTCTGAGAAACAGGCCCCTGCTGGCAGTGGAGCACAGGCACACTAGACTCAGCTCTGCTTCTCTCAAGGAGTGGGAGGACCCTGTCATCATTATGGAAAGCCAGAATGGAGTGGGGCTCAGTAGGAACACCCAGGGATGGTGACAATTCTAGTTCTTCCTAATGACTTAGGATCTGGAACCATTTGCCCCAGAGACAATCAAGTGAGGGGCGCCAACTGGATGCCCGTAACCTCCCAGGAACAAGGACAAGTAGGCTGTACCAGCCTCATCTCATGTGAGACAGGCACAGACTAGGAATGAAATTACGCCAAACTCCTCGCATAATGAGCCAGCCAGAGAATCAATCAAGGGTAAACACGCCAAGGCGTTCACACGCCACCATCTGTTTCATGTTACACCAGTCAGAGGGAGCCCAGGTTCACCAGCGCCATCACATTCCACGTTTCACTCCAACGTCATCGTAACTCACTGTAGCCCAAGCGCCACTGATTAAACACACATGCATGGCTGTTAGCTACCTGCCAGAAGTATTTCCTCGGCCATTGCAGAACCACTTCTTGCTGGTATTGCAGTAAACCACGCAGGCAGGATCATGGATTCCGCAGTAACTGGAAAAGTCCAAACTCCAGCAGTCAGTGCTGGCCCGCAGCCTCTGGGATAAGTCCTTCTTCTTACAGAGCTTCTGGTTTCCATTAAACACAAACCCAATCCCAGCAAGTCAAGTAACAAAGTCGCCTCCACTAACACACTAAGGTGAGGGCAAAACAGATGCCAGGCAGCACAGACCAAAGCGGTCCTGGCCCCTCCCCTCAGATTGCAGGTTAGAAACAAGGCTGTGGTCAGGGGAGCACCTGACTTCAGTAGAAGGCACTATGGACCCAGCAAACTCTCAGGCCTACCTCAGAGGCTGGTGGTGCTATGCAGCACCCTATGTACCCTAAGTCACAGGTTCTCCATAGCTCTCTTGTGCACTGGGCAGGCTGGGGCAGGAGCTGTCAGACAGAACAGGTTCTCGCTGGCTCACTAGTCTACCCTGGCAGCAAGGAGGACGAGGGCACCCAGCTCAGCCTGCCCGGGGGCTCTGGAAAACACTTGTAAATCAGGAGAGCCATGAGAAAGGAAGGTCTGTGGAGGAGAGAGGCCAAACTCGTCCTGAAGAGGGCAGCAGGTGGCTGCAGAAGCTCCAGTGAAGGCACCAGCTCTGGCCTGGGGGTGAGGGGTGGTGGGACAACTAAGGGCTAGCTGAGCTGGGTGTATAGCAGCTGGGACATCCCAGCTCTTTAAGCCTCCACTCGCTCGTATGACTCTGATGGAGCTGAGAACCACAGCTGATCAGAACACAGCCCAGCCCACAAACATGTCCATGCTCCCCCACCTTTCAGAGTGGCTCTTCAGGGTCCCTGGGTAAATGGTTGTGGTTCCTCTCTAGCTCCTAATCACCAAAGAGTAGGGCTGGTGCAGGGGAACCCACCTGAGCTACGTGAACTTGGGGTGTCAGGTACTGAGCCCAGGGTTCTGACAAGCAATAGGGACTGGAGTCACCTCCTAGCCTACCTGCAGGCGTGGACTGGGAGGTCCTTGGTGTAGTACGTGTCTTCTTCGTCTTCTTCAAAGTTGAGCTCAGCCAGCAGCTGACTGGTCTTGGCTACACTGTCATCCACAGCCCCGTTCTGCAAGATGCCCTCTGGTCCAACCTACAGTAGAACACAATCCCAAAGGGTGCCACTCAACCTGATGGCTGAGAAACTATCCGCACAGCTGAGGTGCACAGGAACAAGACAACTGTTCCAAACCCATCACACACCCTAGGAATAGTCGTGTACCACAAAGGCAGAAGCAAGGCTTCCATGCCCAGGTGGTGCTTTATGGTGAGGCCCAGGGGGGGGTCTCAGTCACAGCACAGGATGTCGGCACCGAAACCTCACCACTGAGACCATGCCGCCTTGGCTAGCCTGAGGCAAGGCTCCATAACCCCAGGAAACAGACACCTCCTCATCAACCATGCTTCAGCACCAGGTTCCCACCTTCAGCCACCCCAGCTGACACCTGTGGACGTGAGCCTTTCAAGCCGCAGGCAGGCATTTGCAAGTCACTTCTCAGATCCTAAGACAGGGTGCCCACGAGAGGCGATTCCTAACACTACCAAGATGCACCTATATGGCTGGGTCACTGTCCGTGAGTACTCCTCAGACCACAGTCACCCCATGTCTATACTGACTTCAAAGGCAACATGGGAGTATGCTCGGTGGTCTAGAAGCAGTTTTAGACAAGAAAGGCCCAAAGTAAGTCTGGACTCGTCTTCCTCAGTACTGGGACAGAGCCAGGATCTCATGTATCAGCAGGAGCTCTACCAACGTCCTCTCCAGCCCTGGCCCCAGTGCTCCAATTTCTAGATGACAACATGCCACTGCAAAGAATCCCTTTAAAACTGTGACAAAAACAAAACAAACCAAAACAAAAACCCCAAGCCATAGAGCAAGCCAGGTATGGAGGTAGGAGGGTTACCATAGGTTCCAGGCTGGGCTGAACCGGGGTTGCTTTTAAGCGAGCATATCAGTGTTATCAGTGGCATTATTTCTCACCCTATGACAGGCCTGTCCCATGATGGCCACTAAATACTTCCTTCTCCAGAGCTATGACCATTATGAACTTTCTGTACAAGGATACTAGGGAGCGCCTGTAAGCGGGACTATTACAGAACCTGACTGGCTCACTTCCCTGAGCCACCACCTGTGTGGGACACCAGCTTAGGACCCTCACCTCACTCAAAACCCAGCCTTGCTAGACAGAAGCGCTCAGAGCTCTAACAGAAGTCCTTACAGGCCTGAGAAGAGGCAAGGCAGGGCTAGGAGGCTGTCGTGACTGCTACGACTGTGCCGACTACAGGGACCAAGGTTACGTCTCAATTCTCCAGCCCACATATCTTCACACCTGCTGCTCCCAGGAGCCATCAATTCTCCCCAGGCCACACCATTTTCCATTCCCCCCACGGGTACAGGAGCTCAGATTTCTGCCTGTCTCTGCTACACATGGTGTCTTCTAGCCATGTAAATGGGGCTGAGATGGAATCCTAGGGTGGCCTTGAGCCATCATTCCAGTGACCATGCATGCACTGTTGGTCACTCCGTCCCCTTTCCCATGTGTCTGTGAGCCCCCCACCCCCCACCCCATGTGGTGCCTGGCCTGGAATTTTGCCAGATGGTCCCCACTGTGGACAGAGGCTGGACTGTATCCCAGGGTTGGGAAGGAGGGTGATGTCTCAGTGGTCCTGACTCAGCTGCTGCTTCTTTAAAAATAAATAAATAAATAAATAAACAAACACACACACACACACGCACAGCATTGGTATTTTGCCTGCATGTATATCTGCACAGGGGTATCAGATCTTGGAGGTACAGATAGGTGTACCACATCGGTGCTGGGAATTGAACCTAGGTCCTGTGCAAGAGCAGACAGTGCTCTCAACTGTAGAGCCATTTCTCCAGCTCTGATTCAGTTTCTCATTCTACAAAACCTAGAATTGTCCCCACCCAGTCTTCTAGGGAAGCTGTCTACTGACTTCTGGAGAAGAGCCGTTCTTATTTGTTCCAGTGGTGCTGGGATGGAGCCCTAAGACTTCTGGGCGCGTACCCACAGCTGAGCTGCGTGACAGTCACAGGTTCATATTAAGAAACAGCCTTTCCAGGCTATAGTGGAATAGGAGGCAGAGAGAAGCACATCTCTTCAAGGCCAAGGCCAGCCAGGGTGCCACAGTGAGATCCTGTCTTGAAAATAAAATATAATTTTTAAAAGGAGAAAGGGAAATATTTTTCTGCATGTAGAGCCAGTCAGGTGTGAGACATCACCAGGGTGTCAAGGTCCTAACAGCACTGTGCTTACATCCCTCATGCAAGCTAAGGGTGAGAAGCCCTGGTCACCCTGAGAGGCAATATAAGATAAACACAAGGAAGATTCTCCAGCACCCAACAAAGGCCAAGCTGGAAAAAAGATTCCAGACTCGGTGCACAGCCTGGCAATGGACTACCCACCTCTACACATTCTGTGACTGTTGAGGGCAAGCATCTCACACTCTCAGAGGGACATCTGGTCCCAAATGGTAACAGAATGAGCTAAGAGCAAGGGACAGCACCTGGCAGAGCAGGGCCAGAGCCCTTGGCCCATGAGGAAGTCCAGGGCACACTGCCACCTCACCAGACTAAAAGTCATGCCATGGGTTCCCCAGCCAACTCAAGGGCTCAGGGCTGAGTGTCTTAGGCCCCGCTCCAGGAGAAAGTCTGCTCTAATACAACACTTGGGCCCACCCGGAAGCTGTCAAGTGAATTAAACCTACAAGGGTCACCTGCCTGAAGACTGATTCCCATAAGACACACAGAACTCAGACCCTGGGACAGAGCAGTGCAGAAAGGAACTGATTCCAGAAGAAACTTGTAGAAAGTTTCCATTGTGTGATGCTGTGACCTCAGACTAGAGGTGTACCACAGGACTCATGGGCATCACCCCACTTAAGTCTGCTGGCTGGCATGCACCGCCCTCAGCCTCAGTTAAGCTGGCTATATGCCTTAAGGTGTGCAGCACCCACCAGGGCAGCCTTGAATCTGTACCCGGCCCCAGGGCCACTATTTGGTCTACTCCTTGTAGTAACTCCACCCCTGAAGAGAGCCTGTCCTCCAGGAGGACCCAAGAGTCTTAGCCAAATCCATGTCTGCCATCCAAACACAAATGCTGGGATGTGAAGTGAATCATCTCTTGTTCTCCCAGGCCCTAAGCAGGAGATGAGTGGAAGCTGCATAGAATAGGGTACCCCTCCTCCAAATACACAGAACAGCCACACCCCTTCAGCTGGTCTTTCCAGCCTCAGGAGAACAGGACTTAGTGTCCTGATCAAGACCCAGCTGGGGCTGCTCCTGATCTGTGTGGCTATGAACTTTCTTTAAGATTTATTTATTTATTATGTATACAACATTCTGCCTCCATGTATATCCGCACGCCAGAGGACGGTGATAGATCTCATTACAGATGGTTGTGAGCCACCATGTGGTTGCTGGGAATTAAACTCAGGACATCTGGAAGAGCAGCCAGCGCTCTTAACCTCTGAGCCATCTCTCCAGCCCCGACTATGAACTTTCTTAACTTTAGTTTAGACCCAAGCTGAATTGTAGTCACTTCTGACCTATAACAAAGGCAACCTCACTGGGTCCAGTTCAGCAAGAAGTCCTCCTTTTCTCATCCTGTGGCCTCTGACCTCTATTCTGTCTGTATGGTATGAGCTCACTAGTACCTCCCAGGCACACAAGGATGGGACCATGCAGGTAGCAGAAAACTGCCAACCTGAGAGAGAGTACATGGTCAGGAGTCAGCCACCAAAGCCAGAAGTCATCCTAGGTGACAAAAGCAGCAGCTCGGCATCCAGGTGAGCCACACCCCATAGCCAAGCACTTGAGTCCCGAGGAAGCAAGCAGTGCTGCAGGCATGCTCCCATAAGAGCTGGAGCAGACTGGCCCAAACCATAAAAAGCACCCCACCAGCCCGGCGGTGGTGGCGCACGCCTTTAATCCCAGCACTTGGGAGGCAGAGGCAGGCGGATCTCTGTGAGTTCGAGGCCAGCCTGGTCTACAAGAGCTAGTGCCAGGAGAGGCTCCAAAGCTACAGAGAAACCCTGTCTCAAAAAAACAAACAAACAAACAAACAAAATAAAAAAACACCCCACTAAAGTGACCACCAAGCTGCTAACACTGTGGGCCACCATCGACACCTAGGCTCTAGGGGCCTCTTTTCTCATGAGACCAGAGGGACAGGGTTACTCAGCAGCCCGAGGAGAGGGCTCCAGTGCTGCTGTCATTCACAGGCTGTTCACACACGGCCAGCGGCATGCCCACAGCACTGCCATGGCATCCCCTGCTTCACCCTATACCACCTTCTGCCAGTCCTCTACTTAGCCCTACCTAAGGCCTTTCTGCCTAGGGCACATCACAGTGCCCGCAGTCCCTCCCCCCTCCAGGCCACGCTCTCACCCAACTTAGAAGCCAGCACCCCTAAAGGCTTCTATAAGCACTCAGGTCACCCTGAGTGCCACTGTCCTCACAGTGCTGAGTAGACACCATGAGCAACGCCAGGCCTTCCTCCATCAGTCCTGCATGCAGGAGGAAAGAAAGGCACCATGGGGCTGAGGTCAGGCCACAGGCTGCCAAGAGGTTATAAGGAGCACGAAGGAACACTTTAGGTGCAGAGGGGGTGCCAGTTCCAGCCAGGAGTTTAGTGAGGGCCTCATGTGTGACCACTGGTTAGTGAACATTGTAGTACAGGTGCTGCCCAGAGAACTAACTACACAGAGCCACAGGGGCTGCTGGACTCTGTAAAGACTACTGTCCCACTCTCTAGCTGCAGAGCCCAGCAGGGAAGGGCCCCTCACACATAGGGAGGGACACACAGAGCTAGGTAAAGATGCTAAGTTTAACAGGTCTCCGAGCCATGCGTCCTGCACATGTGCACTCAGGGCTGGAGCATTTTAACTGAGGGCAGGTCTCCACCCCACAGTGGGACACTGCAGGAGGCTGGACCCAAGTCTTTGGCAGTAGCAGGTGTGGTGTGGCCCACCAGACAGTGAAGACGGGCAGGATGGAAGTTCCCTGAGAAGAGGACAAGCGAGATGGCTCTGTGACTAGGGCTGGATGAGGTGCAAAAGTTCCAGAGTTTGAGCAGCAATGCCCGCAGACACTGGTGTCCCTCCCTGAACAGATTCCACTTCAAGGACAGCTGAGGGCACTGAGCCAGCAGCCTCTAGGCCACTTCTCCCTGCATACTATCACCATCCAGTGCTGTGTGGGCAAGACACCTGCACCTGCCGGTTCACCAGGAGGAGGAGGTACTGGATTCACAGCAGCACATCAGAGTCTCAGGAGGTACCTGAGGCCACTAAAACTCCCCAAGTCATCAGTACAGGAACATAGTAGTACCTGTCTCCTACAATTTTGATTTTTGCCATTTCACTTACGATGAAAGGCCTATGTGCTAAGCATATGACAGTGGTGACAGGTCCCCAAAGACCCATCACATCACAGCAAGGACAGTGCAGCCCTTCACTGCACCATTAGTGGGTCCTGTTTCCACCAGATCTCACTGAAAGAAAGGCCACAGCAGTGCTCAGGAGCCGAGCAGCCCAGGGGTCTCTCCCACAAGCCAGCACACAGCTGAGACCTGAAATCACCTTTCAGTGCTCACAGAAGAAAGAGACCTGGAAGAGTCAAGAATTGGGAAAAAAGCCTGGCCTATCTTGGGGACTTTGCAGGACAGTGCCAGCACATTCCATCTGGACCTGCAGGATTCTGACAAACACTGGGGCCTTTCACACAGAAAATGGGGACTTCTGGCGTTGACCCAACAGCCCTCTACCTCTAGACTCCAGGATCAAATCCCTGCCAGCATAGCAGTCCAGCAGCCCCCTAAGCAGTGGCGACATGGGACTCCAGGACAAGCTTCTTCCTCTAGAACATCTCCCACAGGCGCTAACCCACAGCAGAAAGTCAGCAGGGAGAGCTGTGTGCACTGCAGCCACTCAAGTCATGAAAAGGACACAATACATGCCAGCACATGGATGCACTGAGGTCACGACAGCAAGTGAAGAGTCAGGCACAGAGCTGGTGAACAACCAATTTAGTGTCTGCCCAGCGTGGACAGGGCTACGGCTCTGTCTGCACTCCAAAGGAATGAGCCACAAAGATGACAGACACAGGACAACCAAAACATGCCACCTCTCCACCAACAGGAAGGGCCTGGGACATTCTCATCCATAGAGGCCACAGGACTAGCATGGCCAAAGAGAGGCTGGGGTTGCAGGGACTCAGGATGAGATGCTCACCGTGCTTTCTGAGGGGGAGTGCAGGCTCCATGACTATTTCAATAAGGTTGGGGGAACCACCACTGGGCCAACAGGAAAAGCTCAACCTACTGGGCAGGGAAGCTTCCTAGGAGCCCATGACCAAAGATAATCACCTTCAAAGACAAGTAAGTTTAAAAAAAAAAAAAACAGTATTTCTGGTGCTTGGGGCCACTGGCTGTGCAAGGCAGGACTTTGTAATTCTGCTCACTTTCCACTCACAGATGTCCCACAGATGTATGTCCTCCTAAGACAGGATGGAAGGTGCTCCCTCCCTTCCCGGACAACAATTTGATGGTTTTTTTTTTTTTTTTTTTTTAGTTTTTCGAGAGAGGGTTTCTCTGTAGCTTTGGAGCCTATCCTAGCACTAGCTCTGTAGACCAGGCTGGCCTCGAACTCACAGAGATCCGCCTGTCTCTGCCTCCCGAATGCTGGGATTAAAGGCGTGAGCCACCACCGCCCGGCTAACAATTTCATGTTAAGAGAGGCCACAGGTGGGTGGAATGTGGCTCAATCTCCGATTTCAACTGGAGGAACAGGGCACATGCATGTGAGCACAAACACAAGTCTGCTGATGCACTTCAGCTAGAGCTAAAAGATCTTGAGAAGCAACCCCCCACTTCTGCTCCTGGTCTTCCCTTCACAGCCTGCTGCATGGTGGGTGACCCCACAGTTCTCTCCCCTCTCCAGGTGGATGAAGCCAAAAGGAAAGGTCTACCTGGTGGGGGAACTAACAGGAGGCCTGGCCTTCAGGGCCACCTCACTCCTCCAGGCAACCAGCTCTCTCCCCAGCTCCCTACACCGAAGGTGAACAGCTAGAAACAACACACACCTGTTCCCGATCGCTGTGGGGCTGAGTCAACCCTCTCCTTCTATTAGGACTGAAAATGAGTCCAAGTGGGTGGTCTACCCACAGGCATGACTCAACCAGCCAGCTCAAAGGCCCTTCCCCAACAAGGTCTGAGATCACTGATGAGGACTGGTGGTGTCTCCCTAGCCCCAAGCACAGGGACACACCTGTGGCTCCAGCCTGCAGCTCCTCTCTGAACACAGGAAAACAAGCTGTACAGTGAGAGCAACCTGACTATGAGGTGCTGGCCAGTTCCTAGTCCAAGCTGAAATACCTATGCCACCTGTCATTCAAAACAGAAGTCCCTCCCAGAGGCACCCATGTGATACCCACTGTCAATGCCTCTGAGGAGTAAAACTCAAACCCAACTTTTTCAAGCAGAGCCTAGGAGTTACATAACACTGGTTTCAGCAACAGGCAAACCCAGGAGGAAAAACAAACAGGCACTGGCCTCTCCAGCCACCCCAACCAGCCACGAGTGTGCTGCTTCCATCGCAGGCACCAAAACCCTGGCTCTGCCTTGCTCCACGGACCCCCAAACTTGAACCCAAATGGCCTGGCTGGAGGGATGATGGATTGAAATGATTAGTGGGTGGGATGAGGTGGTTGGACTGGCTAAAGAGGTGACCAAGGAGGGCACTTTGGGCCCAGAAGATAGCAACTGTGTACAGGTCATCTTAGGCCTGAGACCAAGGTAGGTTACCACAGACACACCCAAAAGGGGAGTGAGGACAGCTCTGCTCTGGCATGTCTTGAGCCGCAGCAGATCCTGTGTCACAGAAGGAAGGACATTTAGGCAGGTCACTGCCCAGCCTGGACAGGTAGAGGAAACAGGGCAGGTGGCAAGTAGGTGGTTCAAGAGGTAGGGAATCCGAGGAGATGGCAGAGAGCTGGGCCAGCGCTGCAAGGAGCTAGAGCAGGTGGCAGTGACTGTGGCAGGTACATGGGACATGGGATAGGTAGTTAGGACAGGTAGCTGAGGGTGGAAGCAGAGATTTAGGGAAGAGGCAAGTAAACTACAACCAGGGTAAGGTAACAGAGTTTTATCTACGGCAGGTTACGAGGACTCAAGACAGGTGGCGGTTACCTGAGGCAGTTAAACAGGAATGCAAAGTGGGTATCCATGGCCAGTTAACAGGGACTTTAAGGAGCCAGAGTGTGAAGCGGTCACCCGGGGCCTGCTAACTGTGCCTGGGGCAGGCTCACAGGGGCCCAGGACTGGTTAACTGAGATCTGGCACCCCAGCTCCCGCGCCCGCCCGCTCGCCCGCCCGCCCGCCCGGCTTCCGGCGCCGCCATGCGCCGCTCCGCTCACTTGTGCGTCGAGCTGGCCGGCCGCGCCGCCAGCGCCCGCTCCACTCGGGCCTCCCGCGCCGCCGGGGCCTCCGGGGGGCGTCTGCGTCTGGCTGGGGAGGGTGAAGTCCGTGAACTCGAACTCGGAACCCTGGGTGTCGGCGCCGAGCAACTCGGCCTCCTCAGTGTCCAAGAAGGTGAGCGTCTGGGAGCTGGGGCCGTACGCTTCCACGCTCATCCTGCCGCCCGGGCCGCGCCCTCCGCCGGCGCCTCGGCGCACTCGAGCCCGAGGCTTCGCCTAGGCCTAGGCCGTAACCTGGAGCAGCTGCCCCCGCCGCCGCCCCGCGAGCCGGGCGAGCTCCGAAGCGGCCTCCGGGAGCAGAGCCGAGCCGCCGGCTCCGAGCGCTGGGTCGCTGCCGCCGCCGCGCCCCTTCGCGTCGCCGCTCGCCTGAAAGCCCACCGCCGCTCTCAGCCCCCTGGACAGGAACCGCCGCCGCCGCTGCTGCGGTGCGCGTGCGCGAGCCCGACGCCGGCACAGGTGCGCGTGCGCGAGCCCGACGCCGGCGCAGTCGCGCGCGCTCCTCCCGGAAAGCGGCCAACTACGCCCGGGCTCTAGAAGCAGAGCGGGAGGGCGGAACTCGCCGTGCGCCTGCGCGAATGGGCGGGATTTCAACCGCCTTAAGGACTGGGGCTCGCGAGCTCGGCCCCGCCCCAACCGCTACTCGCGGTGCGCATGCGCGGCGGTGTTCGGGGCTGGGTGTTGAGAAGGTGCGTACTGAAGCTTTCCTCAAGCTGAGTGAGGGTGGAGGCTGGTGCGCTGGGACGGTGCACCTGCAGTCCTTGAGCCCTGCTTACCCCGTCTGTCACTCGGCTCGTGGCCATCCTCGGTGGACCCTGCCAATGGTGGTCACTGCTTCTCCTGGCGCTCCTGAAGCCTTTGACGACAACTTCTCCTTTCTTTTGTCTTGAAACCGGGTCTCACTACATAACCGTGCTAGCCTGGGACTCGCTGAGAAGGTGTCAGATCCTTCAGAACTACAGGTGGTTGTGAGCGCTGGGAGCTCAACCTCTGCGGGAGCAGTATGCACTCTAGCCGAGCCATCTCTCCAACCTGTTTTGTTCTCGATAGAGGGTCTCATACTGTAACCCAGGCTGATTTGGAACTCGGGTCAATCCACCTGCCTCAGAGTCCCTGGTACCACCACTGGAGATTGCAGTGTTTGCCACAGAACCCAGGCCTTTGTGCATGCTACAGCCACAGTCAGCATGGAGATGCAGGACCACATTCCTCCCTGTGCTTGTGTCCCACGCTCAGTGGAGGAAGCCCTGTGCTCAGAGAGCTGAGTCAAGGGTACAGGACACCTCTCGGATCTACCAGTCCTCGGCTGAGTGTGATGGTACATTCCTTAAATCCTGAGGGAGGCAGAGGTAGAAGGATCTCTGTGACTCTTTTGAGGCCAGCCTGCTCTACATAGCAAGTTCCAGGCTACCCAGAACTGTCTCAAAAACAAACGAAAAAGATAGAAAAACGATGTGGAACATGGTGACACAGGCCTTTTATCTCAGGACTCTGGAGATGAAGGAGAATCCGATTCAAAGCCATCCTAAGTTATATAGCAAGTTTGAGGCTAGCCTGAGCTACATGAAAACTTGGCTAAAAATAATAATCAATAGGTAAATGTTGATGAGACCAAGGATTAGCCTTGGTCCTTACAGTCTTCCACCACAGGACAAGGCCGTGCTTGTAACTGCTACTCAGGAAAAGGTTCTCCAATGCCTTCTTTTTTCGATTATTTGCATGTGAGCACACTTTTTTTTTTTTTTTTGGTTTTTCGAGACAGGGTTTCTCTGTGATTTGGAGCCTGTCCTGGCACTAGCTCTTGTAGACCAGGCTGGTCTCGAACTCTCAGAGATCCGCCTGCCTCTGCCTCCCAAGTGCTGGGATTAAAGGCGTGTGCCACCACTGCCCGGCATGTGAGCACACTTGTTCCTGCGGAGCTCATGTGGGGTCAGAAAACAGCCTGCAGGAGTTGTTTCTCCTGGGGGCTGGAACTCAGGTTTGGTGGAGAGCTCTTTACCCACTGAGCCTTCTCCCTAACTCCTTAGCCACTTACATTCAGGGTCAGTCAACAGAACGTGAGATTAAATCACCCAAATCCAGACCTTAGTGTTCTTTTTTGGAAAGTGTCTTGTTAGATCCTCTCACCTAAGCTCCAAGAGTCTGGCTCCTCTATGAATTTGAACTGAGCCACAGAACACCTGACATAGAGCCAAGCTACCACTCCCGATTACAAACATTTCCTATTTATTGATATAGGGGAAAAGACCTAATTAGTGGGTTTAAGATTTATTTATATTTTTTCTTCTCTCTCTCTCTCTTTTTTTTGATTTTCGAGACAGGGTTTCTCCGTAACTTTTGGTTTCCCTCCTGGAACTAGCTCTTGTAGACCAGGCTGGCCTCGAACTCACAGAGATCCGCCTGCCTCTGCCTCCAGAGTGCTGGGATTAAAAGCAAGCATCGCCACTGCCCAGCTAAGATTTATTTTTATTATTTTTTTGGTTTTTCAAGATAGTTTCTGAGTGTGGTCCTAGCTGTCCTGGAACTCACTCTGTAGACCAGGCTGACTTTGAACTCACAGAGATTCAACTGTCTCTGCCTTCTGATTGCGATTGCTGGGATTAAAGGTGTGCGCCACCACTGCTGGCCTTATTTTCTTTTTAATGGCACCTGTGTGGTATATGCACAGGAGTGCAGTGCCTGGAGAAGTCAAAAGATAGAGCCTCCTGCTGCGGGTGCCGAGAACTAAGGCCAGGTCCCCGGAAGAGCAGCCAGAGCTCTTCACTGTTCTCCGGGCCCTGTTGGCTGATTTTTCGTTGTTGGAAAGGAAACCTGGGCTTCATACACACTGGGCACCCCTCTACTTTGGGGGCTGCATGGCCAGCAACAAGAGACTCCATCATCTTCCACACTGTGGGTGCTTCCTACTGTATACTCAGTGATGGGAAATAAAATGTAATTAAGGCAGCAGCTCTCAGCCTGTGGGTCTTGACCCTTTCACAGGGCTCACATGCACATTCTGCATCTCAGATGTTCACATTACGATTCATAAAACCATAGCAAAATCACAGTTATGAAGTAGTAACAAAATAGTTTTATGCTTGGTGGTCACCACAATATGAGGAACTGTAGAAAAGGGTCACAGCATTAGGAAGGTTGAGAACCACTGGAATTAGGAGCTGGAGAGTGCCAGGCGGTGGTGGCGCACGCCTTTAATCCCAGCAGTCAGGAGGCAGACACAGGTGGATCTCTGAGTCTAAGGCCAGCCTGGTCTGAATCAAAAGGGTCTTCTTTTCTACAAATGTTTTTGTGAAATGACCTAGGGTGTTGATACTCTAGAATACAATTTAATGTAAAAGTCATGGGCTGAGGCCGGGCAGTGGCGGCGCATGCCTTTATTCCCAGCACTTGGGAGGCAGAGGCAGGCGGATCTCTGTGAGTTCAAAACCAGCCTGGTCTACAAGAGCTAGTTCCTGGACAGTTAGGACTGTTACACAGGAAAACCCTGTCTTGAAAAAACAAAAAAAAAAAAAGGAAAAAAGTCAGGGGCTGAAGTGATGGGTCAGTGGTTAAGAGCACTGGATGCTCTTCCAGAGGACACGGGTTCAGTTCCCAGCACCCACCTAGGGCGGTGATCTGTAAGTTTTCCCCTTAAATAAATAACCCCTTTATTATCCTAATTCTGAACTGGTGTGGGATTGTTTTATGGCATCAATTGATGCCCAACTTTTGATTTTAGAATCCCCTGGCTCTGCTGCCCACCGCCAGCTCAGAGTGTGTCCAGCTAGGCCCGAGCCCTCCCTCAGCAGGCCATGGCCTGTGCCTGGAGCAAGCAGTTGTGTATAGAATCTCAAACAGCGGCCGGGCGGTGGTGGCACACGCCTTTAATCCCAGCACTCAGGAGGCAGGCGGATCTCTGTGAGTTCGAGACCAGCCTGGTCAGGCTCCAAAACCACAGAGAAACCCTGTCTCGAAAAAACAAAAAAAACCCAAAAAAACAAAAAAAGACTCATATGATGTCCCTTCTACATCACTATTTTTGTATTGGGGATTAGTCTTGTACTCACTATTTATTTTGTAAAAATATGGGTTGACAATAGGGCTAAGAATGCGGCATTTTTAGAAATGGTACAGTCTTTTCAGACTGAAACTACACTTCTCAGGAAAGAGGTTGGAAATCTGAAGGTTAGGACCAATTTAACTAACAAAACTCGGTCAACTGAAATGGTACAGACTGATAGTAATTTATTTAAAGGGAGATTCAACACTCTGGAGAACCCACTAGCAAACCTTTAGTGGTACCAACAACCCTACCTTTAAAATGGTTAACTGAGCCGGGTGGTGGTGCACGCCTTTAATCCCAGTACTCGGGAGGCAGAGGCAGGCAGATTTTTGTGAGTTTGAGGCCAACCTGGTCTACAAGAGCTAATTCCAAGATAGGCACCAAAGCTACAGAGAAACCCTGTCTCAAAATACCATAAATAAATAATAAAAGGTTTGGTACAGTTAACTTTTGCAGTTATTTATTTATTTATTTATTTATTATGTATACAATATTCTGTCTGTATGCCTGAAGGCCAGAAGAGGGCGCCAGACCTCTTTACAGATGGTTGTGAGCCACCATGTGGTTGCTGGGAATTGAACTCAGGACCTTTGGAAGAGCAGGCAATGCTCTTAACCACTGAGCCATCTCTCCAGCCCCCTACAGTTAACTTTTCACTTAAAAAAAAAAAGATTAACTGAGAAACCAATATGGATGAAACAGTGCCTCTTGCTGAAGATAAACTGCAGACTTTGGAACAGCTGGTACGAGAGCAACCAGATGCTCACCCAGTGGTGTAGGAGGGTCTTCTTTCTATGTGTTGCTTTCATTGGTTGAATAAAGAAAACTGCCTTGGCCTTTGATAGGGCAGCCCTTAGATGGGTGGAGAATACAGAACAGAATTCTGGGAGGAAGAAGGCAGTGTGGCAGACGCCATGGCTCACCTCTCTGAGATGGACGCTGGCTAGACTCATGCCGGTAAGCCACAGTCAAGTGGCGATACACATTAATAGGGCTAGATTAAATTAATATGTGAGAGTTAGCCGATAAGGGGCTGGAGCCAATGGGCCAGGCAGCAATTTAATTACTACAGATCTCCATGTGATTATTTCGGGCATAAGCTACCTGGGTTTCCGGGACGACAAGCAGCCTGTGAGCCCGGGTGTAAGCCAGTCAGGCAGCAGGACACAGCCCGCCATTGCTCCTCATTGCTACAACCTAGAGACATATGCTAGAACATTATCTGTCTTTATTTGTGCAGGTATACCCATGATGGCCATAATTTCTAATAGATGTGTGATTACTGAATCAGCCTGTTCTGAGCTTAAAGCAGTTGCCCACTGAAAGCATGAATAAGTGTCAATGGTGTGGTGTACATATTTTGATTTTCCA